ATGCTAGAAATAAAACCATTATCAAACAGATCTTGAATGGTAGAATCAATTTCAATTTTCAGACTAGAAACTAAGGGAGGTTTGTAGTTCTGATCTTCCAAACTAACCTTGATGATGCAGGTGAAGGGGGAAACTACAGTAGAAGCAAAATCTACCTTGGCAGCATTGATGGTAAAGGATAGAGAAGAATCATCACTATGAGTGCAAAATTCATGGGAAGAATCATCACTATGAGTGCAAAATCCATGGGACAAATGAAGGCTGGGTATGTAGAAATGAAGAAGTGACTTGAATTGCCTTGGTATCTTTCAAGTTCGGTTCAATTCTTTTATTAAAAAAATTCTACACCGTTCATCTGGGTTTCCATTGATTTTGTGAATATAAGAGTAGAGAAAATTAGACAAGAACAAAAGAAAGCGATGCAAAATATTTTGACATACTGAGAAATTAGAATGGCGAGGATCTAATAAGTTTTCTCTGAAGTTTACCTGTCGGTTTTATTTATCATGCTAATATGCAAAATCGACAACTACACTATTTATCATGCCAATAAGCAGAAATCAGCAGATGCACGCAAGGCATATCTAAGATGCTACACTAAAAAACATTTTTTGCTTCTTAAAAAAGTTCAAATGGCCTCATTTACCTGAGGAATGTTGTCCCAGGCCTCCGAATTGTCATGGAAACATTGAGGGCATATACAACTATTCAGCAATGTCTCGCTGAGACGATTATATGACCCTTCCGATCCAGAAGTGAGCTAATGGATGGTCAAAGAAACAAAATCACCCGAAAGTGTCCAAAGTTGGCGAAAAGATTGTTTATAGATATATTCAGAGTTAAAGACAAAATTATCTATCCATTGACTTTGACTCAAAAGCATTGCTTGGTATACTGGAAGATTCCAGATCAAGCCTTTCCAAAGTCAGTATAACAGAAGAGATTTAGCACTACGAATGTTAGTAGGGAAGTTTCAGAAATTAAAATAATCAGTTAAGTCGAAAGTGTAGTAGTTTATTTGTAAAGGATATCTAGTCAAATCTCCCGATTTTGTTGTTCCTTTCTGCATCATCGCCATCGCAGCCTTCCTTTTCTCTAGATTAATCGACATTTGCCGATTCTGCAAATTCAATTATTCCAAATTATCATTTAAGAATATAGTTTCACTGAAAGAAAGAGAGAGAAGATGAATTTAAATTAAGGCAGGATGTATGGAAACCTGTTGAAAATGTCATTTTTCCTATTGATTTACAACTTCCATTTTCTTTTCTTGATTTTGATTGATGGCCCATTTGTTTACAACAAAATTTAAAGCATAGTACACGGGAAATAAAAGTAGGTAGGTTTCTTCCTAATATTTGGAAGCACTGTTTTTTTACCTGATTTTTCATTTGTTCTTTTAATAGGTAGGCATCGTCTTCATTGGTTATTTGAGTTATTACTTTGATAAGCCTGTCCTCAACAGACTCAGAAGTTTTCGTATCATCTCCCGCCAGTTCATGGGATTCTTCTGCAAGGAGTCCAAGGCATTCAATTTTGCATAAACAGAAGCCTCGTATTTTAAATATATTCGAGGTAGAATGTAATTTGAAACAAACAAAGAATATGGATCGAGAAGTTGCTCACAATCACGACATAATCTCAGGTGTCATTTTCAGCAATTAAAACAAGATGGAATTGACTATAACAAAATGCAAAAAAGGGAAGATTATCATAACGCTGGAACAGAAACCATTGACTCACCTGTAGCATCTCCATCAGGAACTATACCAGTTTTCTTTATGTCCAGTTGATATTGAAATTTCCTGTGTTTCATTAAGAAAGTTAATGGAATATAGCCTTACAATATTACTAATTGCGCACCGTTTACATATTTAAGAACAAATTGTTCTAATATTTACAAGAGACAAAATCTATGTCCATTACTGTAAGAAATTTGTCATGCTAGAGCTTTCAATAAGGGAGGCGAAATCTTAAGAATAGACATTTATTTGGCCCTTTGAGATAAAACGTATTCTTAAAAACAGAAATAATAACTTGTAACGAGTAACAGCTTTATTACAGAAAGAAGCATTATAACGACAGGCACTTGAACATTATTTTACCCAAATACTGGGGTCAACAGTGATGATAATAGTGCCTTTAAGGTTAAGAGTATCGGACTCGACAGCTACAGAGATTAAGAAATGAAAGAAAATAAAAAATGAAGAAGAAACGAATTTAGAAGTAGAATGTGCTACATTTAGCTTTCAGAATTTAACAACTTTAATAATAACAACAGAACTATTTTGAGAGCAGTTTCCAAACAGGTCCTAGTTAAAAATTATCAAGCCCAAAGGGAAGCATATGTACAGGCATGCATAGTGCAAGTTGCTTGCATTAAAATACAGAAGACGGACCTGATTTTTTCATCAAGCTCTGACATGTGATCGAGAAACTGGTTCCTGCATGGTCAATAAGATCTCATCACTTTCACTGTGTTCTTAAGCCATTGAATTATATACTTCTGTAAAATAGATGAATTTCATACTATTCTAATATGCTGTAAATCACAAAAGAGAGACGATTTTCAACCTTGCGGCTCCTCCTTCACACTTTTATGATCGAACGACCGTATTCCAGATCCCAGTATGTTTTTTAAGCGAATAAAGAGAATGTGAGAATAGAAATGTAAGGCAGATTCAATATAACAAATACAGAACTCTAAGTATCATCTTAGCACCTTAAGAGAGTCTAACTCAGACCCAACAGATGCAATTTCACCTTGTAGCACAGAAATCCTCGTCTGGAGTCGATAAATTAGATTTAAGAAGGAAAAAGATCAATTAATGGTGACACAACTGTAGAGTGAAATGTAAGAGAAATAGAAAATAAAACCTCGAGAGTCTTAATTGAAGTTTCATTCAGAGACAATTCGACTTCACAGCCTTTAAGCTCCTGTTCAGTGGTTTCTTTGGTTTCTTTGGTTTGCTTGACGTTTTCAAGGTCAGCATTGGCCGCTTCAAGCTCAGATCGAAGTTCTTCCATTCTCTTCCTCAAAACAACGACGCTTTTCTCTACTTGATGATCAAAATAAGAAGAAGATTCCTTCAAACTTCGTAATAAAACGAAGGAATTAAGACATTGAATCTTAGATTCATCAAACTTCATGAGAAATTCTGGTATGCAGTTCTTATCAAAATACATTCTGCTATAATTGCGAATACCAAATCAGACGATCGAATAGAGCAATAATTTCTTGCATTTTGATTAGAACATTTTCAAGGGATAGAACATTGTTCTTGTATATAAATACCTCCTTATCAACCAAAATCCTGCTAGAATAGCCAATACTCAATCAGACAATTACCTTTCCGAAACAATTCTGAGCAAATACAGTACAAAAAAAAAAAAAAAAAAGCTAGCATTATACTTCTTAACACAGTTCTTGCATAGAAAAACCTCCATATCAACATAAAATCTGCCACAATCGCGAAAATTGAACCAGACGATTACCTTTCTGAAACAAATCTGATCGTAATACAGTAAAAGAAGTGCTAGCAATCCGATCAGAACATTTTCTAGGGAATTAACATTAAGTGTTACATAGAAATACCTCCTTGCATTTTTTCAGCCGCGTATTCGTTAATTAGCGAGAGAAAAAGCTTTTGATTTTCAGTTAGCGTCAAGAAGGTTGGTTTCTTGGCTCGCTCTTTACTCATTTTTCCTGCTGTGTATGGAGCCTTGAGAAAATCGATATCAACAGTATCTAAGAAACACAGAGAAGAAAATGGAGAAACAGAAAGGAACTGAATCAAAATGGAAGAGAAAACCGTCTGCACCTCAAAATCACCGCTTTGTTACGTAAAGAAAACTAACCAAGAACACGAGTCCACTAAAGATATAACTAATTCAAATATTCTAAATATATATGTTTTTCTCTTAAAAAAAAAACATATCAATATTAGTACTTAAAATGTTTTTTTTTAAATAAATCTTGATTTTAGTATTAAAAAAGTAAAAATTAAAAATTAAAAAAAAAAAAGAAACATTTTTTATCAAATTAAATTTTAGTCCCTATACATAAATTTCTAGCAACTTAATTTATAATTTCATCAAAATTAATATATTGTATAATCTCATTATTATGAACTAAAATATAATTAAATTAAATCAATGAGGACTAAATTATAACAAAAGTAAAAATGAAGGACTAAATTGTTATAATCTAAAATTTATGCACTATATATATATATAATTATATATAATGAAGTTATACTTATGTATTATGCATCAAAGTTCGAGCACTTATTGTAACACATTGCAAAAGTGTCGAAATATCTTAGAGCTATGCTAACCTATTATGTGTTGGGAGAAAACATTTATCTCTGTTGTGCGCCGAAAGTGGAACAAATATACTCACAACACCAATGAACGGAATTACACAAAGAGACACTAAGATATTTACGTGGTTTGGAGAGAAGAAGTTTCTCTACATCCACGGGTCGCAACCAATCACTAATAAACAAAGTGTTACAAGTGAATACCTCATTATCATACTATAAAGACTCACCAATATGTCACTCAAGAAATACAATGGGACACACAAAACTCTCCTAAATCCCGATGTCAAATTTCGATGTTATCAACCTCCTAGATAAGTCCATTATATAGGGACATCATCAAACGTTATGGAATTAAATAAGATTAATATTAAAATAGTTATAAAATTAATAACCAAATTAATAATATTCTAATTTAATCAACCTTTACAGATTGACGACAGTTAATGACTAAATTAAATAAAAAAAATTATGACAATTTAGGTCTACAATTTTTTATAACCCAATCTTAATTTCTTAAAGATAACTTCTCCAAACATACATACACTAACTTATTTGTCCAACGCCTTCTATCATTGGGACGATGTTTTGGATCATTTTGCTTGATTTATTTGACGTTTTTTTGTATCGAAATTTGTCCAATGATAGTAATAGTTTTAGAAAAAGAAACTTAAAAAGAGTTTTTATCTCAATGGTTAAAAATTGGGTTCAGATTCTCACAGAGGACAACAATAATTTCTGAAATCTGTTGTTTGTGTTTACTTTACTCTCCTTTATACACAGAAAAATCAGGCTCTGCAGGCTTCTGCAAGTTAATCAAGGTCCTCCCACTCAAATTCCTCATCCGATGCCCTCTAAGCGCATTCGCTGCAAATCTCGACGCCAAAATCGTCGCCCCAAGCCTCGTCGACGCATACGCCGCCGCAGCCGCCGCTGCATCCTCCTCTTCCTCCTCCTTCCGCCGCAGCTCCGCTATCTTCCTTTTCAAATACCGACGCCACGCCGCTTGTATAAAACAAGACGCCCATGTGCGCCACTGCTGCGAGTAGAATCTGAACGTGTGTTGGACCTGCCGACTGTGCAGACGTCGGAACTGGCTGGCCACGAACTTGAGCTCTTCCGCCTCCAAGGCGAAGGCTTCAACCTCGGTGAGGGCATGAACAGTGCGAGTGGAGGATGGGAGATTGGCGCCGGACTTGGGGTCCAGAGCCCATGTCAGAAGCTCCTCACCGCAGAAGTCGCCTTCTTTCAAAACGCCACGGTTGAAAAAGCCACTCCGACCGCCGTCGGTGGTGACGCTCTCGAGGCGGCCACGGATTATGAATAGCATTTCGTCAACTGGGTCGCCTTCTCTGACTATGTATGTGTTCTGTGTGTATAGTGTTGGCTTTAGCCTCTCGCATATTGCATCTAGAAGCCGTTCGTCCATGTTCGCAAACAAAGGGACCTATTTGCAGTGTCCACTCACATTCAAATTTTAATGTCTCTTCTCTTCAAACCAAATTTAGAAAGAAGAATTACATACCCTTCTAACCAAATTGAGACAGAGATGGCGTTTAATGTCTCTCCTAAGGTCCTTTGGAAGACTTTGAACCAAGCTCTCTTCATCCACTCCTCTAGTTTCAAGCCATTTGTATTGATCATAGCGCCTAACTTTTTCTCTCAAGTCCGGGGGAAGCAACCGATGGTGCATCCACTGCTCCGAGTCTCGCCTTTTGATGCGCATCTCCTCAAGGCGAACGGTTAGAGATTGAAGGTACGTCTGTTGAAAGACAAAATTAATAACTATTTTGGACATTCTATGTGACTTTGTTTAGAACAGTGAAAATTAGCTAATTTTGAGCTCATCATACTTTTTTTTTTTTTTTTTTTTTTTAAAT